TTTGTAAGTACTGAAGAGGCAGGTAAAACGAGAAAGTTCTACTATGGATCAAATAATCCTGGATTTGTTCTTTTTCAAACAAAAAAGAAAAAGTTTTCACGTGTGCTGTTTTAAGCAGCTTTTTATTTTGAGCTTAAGTATCTTTCTAAACAGCCACGCAGTAAGTAGCTTATGCATCTTTGTTTTTGAATAAATTTTCGATTAAAAATTCCTTTCCCCCTCTTTCCACTCCTGTGATAGCTAACTTCATCAGTAATTCTACTTTGAAAAAAATAAATAAATCTGTTTTGATAAGATGAGATTGAAAATAAACCACAACGTCAAATCTCGAGGCTTCTAACTTACGTAACAGACAGATGACACGAGTTTTTTTTTTCAATTTATGCAATAATCTTTTGCCTTACTATGGGACCATGTCTATTGACGATAATATATCATAATTTTTGTTCTTGAGCAGTAGTTCCTAACCCATAGGTCAAGACATACAAGGGGACACGGGCTGAGGGGTACTGGGTATGAAACTAAAACTATCCACTTTCAATCCAGACACAAACTCTCTCGTTATGGACAAACAGTATAAAAAATCTCATTAAGGTTCTTCAACTTTTATGACATGTCTTTTTAGTTTTCTCACAGTTTTGATAGATGAATATTTTATTAGTAACAATTATTTATATATTAAGTAATTAATAGGTCTCAAAGTTTTTTTAAAACAGAATTGATAGTCTGTACAACTAGAAAGGTTGAGAAACGTTACACGATATACTAGAGGGTTCCGCCATTTTCTCACTATGCTGCTCATCAACTCTCAATTCTCACACTCGTTAGTTATCAAAACTGCTGGTTTATTCGAAAAAGAGATTTGAAAATAATTAAATAATTTTATAAACATATTTTCTTGTGCTGAAGAAATAAAAATTGACTCGTGATTTGCAGATAATATTCAATTCGAAAGTTCAGTTGGCTTATAAGTATTATTGATATCAATTGTTTCCAAAACATGACAACAAACTTGTACATTTTTAATTTTATTATACCCCTGCACTATCAGTTCCATTTCCCTCAACCTTGAACCATAATATTGGTGCCTTGGACCATAATTAGGTATAAATTTGATTGTTTTTTTACCATAATTTTTTTATGTCTGACATTCAAACATATAGTTGAACGTATTTTACGAAATTTATACTATTTTACGAAAATAAGAAGTTCTAGCAGCATTGTCTACCATGTCTATGAATAATTCGTTTAAAACAAAACCAGATGTTACTTTTGTTTTATGAATCTCTTCGTGGGGATAAATCAACAGTTGATTGAGCGTTGAAAGATCTACCAGGTTCAGGTCATGAGACGATCATAAATTTAACAAAAAAAAATTCCCCTTTGAATTCATTTAAATGTCCTTGAAGGATTACTCAAAAAAAGTTAAAACAAAGATCGAAATCACTTAGAAGATGAATCAACTATCTGACAGTCACCCACTGACCGTGTTCGATCGTCGAGATAGGAATGTATGTCGAAGGTTACCAGTCAACAATGCGTGACCTTTCCGTATATTGTGAGGTAAACTCAATTCACCTTAAAAAAAGGTTTTGGAAAGGGTATAAAACTAAATGTAATTCCAACTAATTAACGATCTGTGTGAAATATAGTTTCGTTTATTTGGCATCTTTTTTGGCTCTGTTATAAAAGCTAGATATTGTCTTAAAATCCAGGTCACTACTCTAGTGATGAGGAACCGGTTAAGTCATAAAATCGATAGTTTAATTTTACCCTTACTGGACACGATCATAAAAGTTAGAGTGAAAAAAAATTTAAACCAATAAAGCATAATTGGTGGTATTCAGAGAGATTTATAAAAAATGCTTTGATTCAATCTTTAACGTGACATTTGACAGTTGCGATGTTTGATTGACGTATTATCTATCTGATAGGATTTCTAACTATAACATCGAAATTTGTACCTCAATGGTGAAGTAATCGAATAATCAATCAAGAGAAAGATTTAAGAATTTTTCTTTGTGATTATATAACGGAGATTTGCGTAATCGAAAATAAGTTTAAAACCTTATTTATTTAGTTATGTAACGTGATTCAAGGTTTACTAATAAGGGTATTTTTGCAACATGAGTAAGATGGACATCTGAGTTGCTTTTGCGGTCAGGAAGCAAGTTTGACCTATTTAATTCTTTGAGATTTGAAATACCTTAATGCTTATTCTTACAGTTCTGGTTAATGACAACTCCGTGAGAATGTTTTAATGTTTTCAAAAAAATATAATTATAAAACCACAATAAAACCGACAATTACTTTTACAATCACGGCTATTATTTAAGTATGAAAGATGTACTGCTCCAGGTCACAGGGCTGAGAAAAATCATCTCTAGTTGTAGTGGAATTGTGGTTAAAAGTACATTTGCCGTCTGACTAACCATCTGATGGTTTTATGATTTCCCTCTCTAACTTATGCAAATGCTGGTTAGTTTCCCTAAAAAATGCTCTCTGGAAACGAGTTTAACGTGATAAGTAACTCAAAGGTTCCCTTGTCTTATGAGTTATGTACAAAATTACAAGTCAACTTTAATTTCAGAAATTTTCATTTTGAATATTCTATCTGTGGTCAGTGATAAAATAACTATTCCATGTCTCGGTGAAAATTAACTGGGTTCGACGCAATTTAATTTTCACTAGCAATTCACACTTCTCAGTTCGCATAATTAAAATTTCATAACAGTCTTAATTAAAATTTACTTTTATTTTTGATAAGAAGGAGTCCTGAAATTATAAATCTAAAATAAACTTCGAATTTTTTTAAATATTTTTCAAAATAAGGAAAATTTGAGCATAAAAATTGCTCAAATCAAATCAAAATTTTAAGTCATTCTAACAGCTTTACAATAAATTGAAATGCATTTAAATATCTAAATGTTTCTTTTCTTAGATCACTAAAATATTTATCTGTGTTTTGAACAAAAATCTTAGTAAAATTTCAAATGTACAAAAAATAGAGTTAAATATTTTGTTTAATATTGATTTTTTTAAAGATAAATTTTGAACATTCTTACCTAAAGTGTGATAAAAATTATAAGTTCATATTTAAATCCTAGCCTTTAGTATATAGCTGACATTATACAAAATCTACATTCAATGCTTCAAAGAATTCAATGATAAATTTTTTTTGTAATGTATTTTTTCTCAAAATCAACATTATTCTGATAATGCATTTAAAGTATGTAATTACTATTTGTTTTGTTTCCCAGCATACAAAAAAACAACTTTAAGAGATTTAGAAAGCTAATGAACAAACGTTCAAATGTAGACAACAAAAAATTATAAAATGTAGACAAAACAATTCGTATAAATAACCTATTTTGTATCCAATTGGATACTTTGAAACTAAGTTTTTTAAAATAAATATTTACAATATTTTTACAATGATTGATGGTAAATTTTGCTTAAAAACATTTCAGTTGTAAATGAATAATGTCTATCACACGTTACTGTAAACATTTCGACACATTTTTTTATTAGGGACAATTACATTAAATAGCAAAATTTCAAGTGCAAATTAAAACTTATTTCATTATAAACTACTCTTATTGCTGTTTGTTTGTTTTTATTCTAAATTACAATGAAATAAAGGTATGCATTGAATTTTAATTAAATCATGAATTAAAAGAATTTCTTCATGTGCGAAATGTCCTAGCATCTTTGCTACAGTGACATGTATGCTAATTGGAAAATTCATATTATTGGGTATGTTTCATTTTAGCTCTGCAAAACCACATGGAACACAAAAATATGTAATATATGCGATTAGTGTTTTTATCTTTCACAAATTTGTTTATAAATATTCCTTTAAACGAATGAAAAAATATTCTTTTTCACATTATTCAAGCTATATCGTTGGATATTTTTTATATATTTTTGTATAAGTTTTATATTGATATATTATGTAATTACATTTCATATTAATTATATATTGCAATTAAAGCTATTTTAAGTATACCTCTAATCTGAATTCATTTATTCGAATTTTAAGAATTGATTATCTATTTAAACAAGATAAATTATCTAAGTACAAATAACACTGTTTTAAGTTTTAACTGTGCTTTTATAATAGTATAAATGCTTAGATGCACAGTTACAAAAAAAAAATATAGCACTCAACATAGTAAAGTTTACACTGCAATTTTAAATTTGTATAAAAACATTGACTCATAATTATTAAAAACAAGCACTCAAAATTAGCACTGTTGGTAATGCTTCATTGCAACTTTATATATGGATAAAATACATTGACGCATTGTTTCTGAAAACTAATGTTCAACATAGCTCTGATGAAAATCCTTTCATTACAACTTAATATATGGATAAAATATATTATATTTCATTTTTTAACCATCGTTAAGCAGCCGACCTAATTTTGAGTATACAACAACCAATGTTCAACTCCGTTGCCTTGTAACTTTCAACCCAATCTAGAAGACAAGGGATTCATTGGATCATGTATTGGGAGAAATTTGCCTTCTTGGAGGATTTTTTGATGAAACTAAACCACCTTTTGTGAACTAGGAAAGCTTCCCACGGTTAGCCTGATGGAAAGAGGACTCTAACCACAGAGAATATTTTTACGTCAGCACTGTGGTTGATGCTCCACCGGGTGCGGAATACGTATCGACCAGCCATCACTGCGATTCGAACCCGAGGACTTCATTGGGAGGCGTGATCTTTATCCCCTGAGCCTCCACAGTTCTGGATAAATGCATTGATGCATTGTTTCTAAAAACTAGTCTTCAACATAGCTCTGATGGCAATGCTTTCAGTGAAACTTTATATATGGATAAAATACATTGGCGCACAGTTGCTAAAAACTGCTGTTCACTGTAGCACAAAATGACAATGCTTGTATCGCAACTTTACATATGTACAAAATGCATTTACGCTTGATTTTAACTAAGTAAACGAAGAAAAAGTCTTAATTTTTATTTCTTTTACAGGCTTTCACGTGACTCCAAAGATTTCACTAATATGCCCAGAGAGCTGTCTTCTAATAGTTGTTGGTGTGGTCATCGGCCTCCTGTTGTTTTATGCCGGACTCACCAATGTCGGACCTTTGACTCCCAATGTCTTCTTCCTGTACATGCTTCCGCCCATAGTTCTAGATGCCGGATACTACATGCCAAACCGTCCATTCTTCGACAACTTGGTCACCATCCTACTGTTCGCTGTGGTAGGAACCGTCTTCAACGCCATGTCAGTTGGAATGTCACTTTGGGCAGTCGGTCTGACTGGACTGTATGGAGTAGAAATGCCTTTGCTGGACACTTTGCTCTTCAGTTCTATAGCATGTGCTGTGGATCCCATAGCAGTGTTGGCTGTGTTCGAAGAGATTCATGTGAACGAAGTGTTGTACATTCTGGTGTTCGGAGAATCATTACTTAATGATGCTGTGACAGTGGTAAGTTTAAATTATCATTATGAATTCATTACGAGAATTATTTTCTTAACCTGACGTTTAGAATTAATCGAAACACGTTTGTTTTAACCACTCCCAAAAATCAAAGCCTTAAAGAGTTAAAAATACAGGGAAAGATTCGAAATTAAAAAAATACACTTTTTCAAAATTTAAGTATAGCTTTGTTAGTTAAAAATTGCGGAAATGATTTGTAAACCAAAAATTACTTCGTGCTTAAGCCCCAAACATCATTAGACTGATATATTAATGTTTAATACTAAAAAATTAAAATAAAATCAAAACTATTTAATTGAGGTTCGTATTCATTCAAATGGAAAATTAGTGAATCTTAATGGTGACAAATTTTCTGAAGAAAAATTAACACTTTTTTTTAATTGTTATAAATTTAAATAAATAATTACTTCGTATTTAAACTTAAAAAGAGCGTGTGGTATAGAATTTTGTTAAAAACTTTTATCCGCGAAAGATGGATGTGATTGTGCTGTTTAAAAAAAAAGTTGAAAGGAAAACATAAACAGGAAAAGAAAAATTAGAGTGGACAGAGGAAAGAAATCTTCAGGGATTTTGGATATTTTCAGAATTCTATCTCAAGTAGAAAATTTTTTATCTATTTTTCATAAAATAAAACGAAATATTTATTTCATAATCGATAAATTGATTTCTTCATAATCATATGTAGCATAATGATCGTTATTTTATATTCTTAAAGATTTCTTTCAAACTTAAGTCCCCCTCCAAAGAATAAATCAATAGGATCACATGCTTGATGAATTCAAAATAAAAAATATCGACCTATTTTGAGTTGAAAAGTCGTAAAATTCTTTTGACTTACGTGATAGTGCTTTAGGGAACCAATCACCTTGAAATGTTCTTTATCACGCTATTCAGTGGCGAAGTGTGATAGATTGCTTTAGAATTGCAAAAAATAATCGATTGGTATGTTTACATTTCGAAAGGTAAAAAGTACAATGCTCAAGAAATATTCTATTTTTGCTTTCTCTGTCTATAATGATACCTAATCATTAGTTTGAAATAATATATTTGTCAGTAAAATTTTCAAATTTAATAATAATTGCATTCTTTTTTTTTTGTTGGTGGCAAAGATTATAGTTATTAACTAAGAAATTTCTTATCACAAGTATTTTTGTTCATAAAATCGGGAAATATTTTCCGCTTGAACAAATATATAAATAAATAAATACAATAACTTAAGAGCAAGTACAACTTTCTTAATTTGTGATAACATTAAATACATCCTGCTGAACAGCAAATACAGCAAGTGAACAACATCAGCTTTAAATTAACATCGCTAAGTCAAAAACGTTGTTTCCTTTTTTAAAAAATGTCTTTTTCAACGAATTAATTTGAAAAAAAATCACTAACATCAACTACACTGCACTTTTCCTTCGACTAAAAATTCGTTAAATTAAAAAAATATATAGAGCCTCAAATGTTAAATGTTTAATATGCCGTTTCATTCGGTTTTTTAAAACTTCATTACAATAAACTTGATTGCCATTTAAAACTAAAGCCCTGCATGCGTAAATACTAGGTAATCTAGGGCTTTATTTAAAACTAGATTTAGTAAGTGTTTCAAAATAAAAATGTAATAACATCTTTAAGAGTAAAATTCATGCTTTTTCTTTTAGTAAACTAAATATAATGCTCTCGAAAAACTTTTAAGTGTTATTAAAATATAAATTTTTATCATCACTTTTGGCAAAATTAAAATAAGTGCGAAAATCTGGAAAAAACACAAATGGTGATTTGCTTTTATTCTATTCAATAGGAATGTTTTTTTTTAAAACAAAAGACATTTTTGATAATATCAAAACACTTGTCTTATGTACCAAGAAAAAGAAAGAAATGCTTGTGTTATGTAAGTTATAAATGAACTTGTGCGATGAAACAAACAATTAAGTTAATGAAAATTAATTATATCTTGAACATCCCTTAAACTATTTTTCTTTAATGTCTTTTAGCTTTTCCATTAACATTGTGTTGATACAATTAAGTGCATTATTAAAGTACTGAATTTTTTTTATATAATGAATATTTTTGCTTATATAAAAGAATGTTTTTAGAAAACTGCTTTGCCTTGAATTACGCAAATATATTATGTTTTTTTATCCTTATATTCGAAAAAGGTTATCTCTTTCTATAAAATAAGGAAAAAGGAAGTTCAAAAAACCGTGAAATTACTCTAAATTAAATATATTTTTATACTCAATCAACTTAAAATACTTTCGTATATAAAATAAGCGTCATTCTAATTTAAAGATGTAGCTAAGATTTTCAAGGTAGCTTAAGAGTGACTCTGTTATAAAACTTTAATCCTTTCTGAGGTCAAGACGTTTTATTTACTGCTTGTTTCTAATGTATTATTGCTCAATGCTAAGAAATTTTTCTTACATCATTTATTTAAGAAACATGTAAAAATTAAGAACATATTAAGAACCTGTCATCATTTGTTATTATTTCCCATCAAATACTTATTAGTATTAGAGGAAAGTTGGCTAAATCGCTCTTCTCCCAAATCTTACCACCCTCATTTCCAAAGAAGGATTGAGAAGGGGGATAATCTAACAAATAAAATTCTTTTTAGGGGATCTATGCGGAAAAATCAAGTTGTGTGCAGATGCGTTAAATTATTTAGGTTTATCGGTTTCTTAATTTTTTAAAGTAATTTTAGAACATCCTGTGTAAGTATACAGCAGGACTAAAGTTTAATAAAGGTTAATAAATGTATTATACATTTGTTAATCAAACTTTTCTATTGTGCAGGTTTATTTGCCAACTAAATGTGCTTTGGAGCCCTTTTTTGTTGTTGTTAATTCTACGTTTTTGTGCAAATTGTACTTCAAGTGGTGCCCTAAATTGAATCGGTACGATCTAGGAGATATAGTACGACGCGATTTTTTAACTACTAGACAAATTGTTTTACAAATCCTTTAAACTGTACCCTACACCTAAACAAGTAAAAGGGCCGAAACAAATCCTAAACTAGAATCACCCAATACCAAGTTTTTCATCTCATTAGTGAGGCTTATAATGAGTCGGCAACAATTGAGAACTTTGTTAAAATTTAACTGTTCTGCGTAGTCCAACACAACTCTCTCAACACATAATTTCCAGGCTCTTTTTTACAGCAAAACCTCATCTTGCACGTGAATCAGTCGGAAAGATTTGAAATTATTTCAGCAAATTCAAAGAAATTTTATTTGCCTGTGAGCTAGGAATAGGAAAATAATGAAAAATATGTTTCATGAGTCTCTTGGTGATACAAGTAATTAAATGCCAGCCAGCGATTCGACATACCGATTTATTTCAATTCTTTCTCTTACTTTGGATGTTTCTATCGAATCAATTTCTGTTATTTCAGAATCTAATAAAAATTAGAAGAAAATTATTTTTAGATCCCAAAAAAGGGGACTCTGAATGAGCTGCCCTAGTGAAAGTGAACTGGATTTAAAGAAGTATTTTAAACGGGGTTGAGAAAAAAAATACAGATAAAAATATCAATTAGGTAAATCAGATCTAAAATCTTAAGTTTTAGTTCAAAAAATAAAGAATATTCTAACATTAAACTGAAATCGAATAAACCAGTTGTGTTTATATTATAAATCAAACATCTACTTTGAAACGGGATGTTCTCATCATTGAAGTTCAACCTGAATAATGGGTTTTACTCTCTGTTAGGTTCATTCAGCTGAAAATATGATGCCCAAAAAGTGACACTTGAGTTGAATTTAGTAGTACATACCACCATGCTTCTTTAGTATTTTGTTTTTGTTTATAATGCTGTTACTTTAACTATAACAGTTAAAAAAAAACACTAATATTACATCTTTTGTTATATATGCCTATCTATCCATAATTCGGGCTAACAGAATAGGTTAGCTGACAGATATCTATTAAACATTCATTATGATTACTGATTGTCTACTTACTTGCTTATTCTTGATTATTAAATATTTTCCTGGTTGGTAAAATTTAGGAAGTAGGTAGTATGATAGCAATCAGTTTCCTAAATCGTACTATTTACAAACCTGGTAAAAATCATTAATTTTAATTATTTATTGCATGAATATAATTATCATTTATCTAGCTAAATGTCTCTATTTTATCATTAAAATATTTAAAAAGCAACTGAAAATAATTTGTGAGAGATAAAAATTTAAATGTGAAAAGTCGTACTAAAAAGAACGTAATTTTATAATGCATTTTATAATGCAATCTCATGAATTTTATAAGGCAAGCCAAAGAAAGTATAAAAGGTTCGAAAAATATGAAAAAGGAATACCAAAAACAGTTTCCTTGAGTTGAGCACACTTAAAAGCTAACTAAACTTGACTATGCTTCATTTTAAAGCTGTTGTTTTTTTAACTAAATTATGTTAATCTAATAAATATTAGAACAATAAATATTCGTATTATATGTAAAATAGTCAAAACTAAGAACCAAAGTTATGTACACGTAAGTTGGAAATCTAGATAATGCTTGGTAACCATTTACAACTATCATGGTTTCGAAACCATAAAATTTAAATTTAACTGGGCATTAGAAGTTAGGCTTTTCGTTAATAATGAGTTCAACATGGTAAAATTACTTTTGTTATATTTCAAACCTATTTTCATCACAACCTAGTTAAATTTATTGTTTCTCCTAAGGTGCTCTATCACATGTTCGAAGGATATGCTGAAATGGGACCAAAGAATATCATCACTGTCGACTACTTAGCAGGGGTGGCATCTTTCTTCGTGGTGGCACTCGGGGGCACACTCGTGGGAATCCTTTGGGGACTCCTAGCAGCTTTCGTCTCCAGATTCACCCATCACGTCAGAGTCATCGAACCACTCTTTGTTTTCGTCATGTCATATTTGTCTTACGTCAGTGCAGAACTGTTTCATTTTTCAGGAATCTTGGCGTAAGAATTTTTTTCATTCTTTTTTTGTTTGATTTGATTTTTAAAAGTTGCACTAGAGTTAAGCTAATCGGTTAATGGCGACAGTTTGAAAGATGATCTGAAGGTAATAGCATTATTCAAGCACGCGTGAGGGAAAGCCTAGCGAAAGAGTTCACTTTTTATAGGTGAGGAAAGTTAAAGCGTGCGAAACATGAGCTTATTTATTTTGGCGAGAATTCCGGACCGGCATATAATTCCAATTCTTTAGTTCACTACGATAGAAAGGTAGATGATATTTCTATTTTATCTTTGTGAAAATACTTTTAATTATTAAAAAAAATCTAGCGATTTAAAGACTATATATATATATATATTTTTTTTTTTGTATGAAGATATTTTGCTTTAAAATTTCTAAAAGCTTGATCTTTCAGCATTTCGCAAATATTTCTTCATATGGTATAAAATTGTTATTTAAAGTTATTAGAATGTATCAAGATAAGAATTTAAAATGTCGCGAATTTGCCCATGCTGTGTAAAATTGCTATAAACTAACACAGCTTATCTTGCTTTTACTTTTTAAGGCTGTTTTTTAAAAGCTCTGACAGCATGGAATAATACTTTTTAGCAAATAATATGCCATTTTTGTAGCTGTTGCGAGTTTGTAACAATTATTCATGTCTGTTAGTTTAAGTTAGTCAGCATCCTGTATGCTAATTATGCAAATGGAGTAATGTGTCAAGATAAAAGGCCATACTTTAAATGGCTCTTGTAAGAGAACATCTCAGACGAGAGCCACGTTACATTAAAATACGCAATGAAAATGATAGCCAGTTCTATAATAAAGTTGACAAGATGGTATGTGTTAAAATTATAGCTTTGCTCTGAGTTTAAGACACTTTTTTTATTTCCTTAGCAAGAGAGTTACGAAAAACACCTTAACGGCTTTTCCAACAGAACTATAAAAAAATTCAACTTTTCTAATCATATAATAGATATCAATATCTATAGCTGCAATCCGAATAGCTCTAGTCCAGTTACAGTGTCATATCGATCTTTTTGAAAAAGCTGTTGTCCTATGTGACTCAAGAGCTGCTTTGCTTGCCATTGCATCCTTAAATAATCCCTTAACTTGAGACATTTTGGATTGCCGCCTCCAACTTGAATACCTAGCATCCCTTAAGAAAACCATTGTTCTCCAGTGGGTTCCTGCCCATTGCGGGGTTACGGGTAATGAAAATGCAGACTACTTAGCAAAAAAGGGGGCCTTAATTATTCAGACTTCTGCGCACATGATGCCTTTCTGTTCCATCCAACAGCTTATTAAGAGGACCTTTCAGACCTGTGCTCATGAAGAACTTATCGACCGTACTTCTACTAAGTCTTGGAGGGCTTGCATCCTAAATTTGCGAAATGGCCCAAGACGAAGAGCGGTGGCTGAATTTCGCTTGGCCACCGGTCATGACTGTCTGCAGAAACATCTGTCTAGATTTGGTACCGTTCCTTCCCCGGTATGCACTCTTTGCAGTTCTGGTGAGGACATGGACTCCACGCACCTTCTCCGCTGCTCTGCGCTTTTGCAGGAATTCTATCACTGAAAGCTATTGGGAAGCTAGAGACATGTTGTGATTAATAGACTCTGTTGCAGCATCTTTTGTTTATGTATGCTGTTACTGTCTATAATCTGCCATTGGAAATAAAATAAAAAATATCAATATCTCAATGATATTATGACTGTTCATCATGCATCTGATAGTAATATTCTTTTTAAGGTTGACATTCTGTGGTATAACAATGAAAAACTACGTGGAGGAGAATATCTCATACAAGAGTCACATTACAGTTAAATACGCAATGAAAATGATTGCCAGTTCTTCTGAAACCATCATCTTCCTCTTCCTCGGTGTCTCCACGGTCAACGATAACCACGAATGGAACACTTGGTTCGTCGTCATGACCATCTTCTTTTGCACAGTGTACAGGACTATAGGTAAAATAACATCTATAGTTCATTTATTCTTCTTTCGATTTTAACACATTGCTGACCGGCAACTTTTCTGAAAATTTCCCCATGTGCCCGGCAATTGAGCGGATGTGGAAGTAAAACAATATAAATAAACTTAAAATTTTTTTCATTTATTATTCAACTCTTAATATTTCTTTTTCGTATGATAAAAAGTATAACAATCACCTACGTGTATTGGTACACCACAAGTTTTGCAAATATATCGGGTTTCGCAAGATTATAATAAATTGGTATAGAATTAAATAGTAAAACTTGAAAAGTAAGGAAAATTACGCCCACTTTGTAAAATAGTCATCACGAGATCACTGCTAACATGATTGCTATGACTCGTGACCGGTCATCAACGCTTGGCCACGGAAACACGAGTTAACTCCTGACCGGTCATCAACGCTTGGCCACGAAAACACGAGTTAACTCGTGACCGGTCATCAACGCTTGGCTACAAAAACACGAGTTAATTCGTGACCGGTCAGCAATGTGTTAACAACCACATTGCTGACGATTGCTTCAAAATTTGTTTCTGATATAGATTTTCAAATTGTGTTGAGGAAAATATTAAATTAAAAGTGTAAAAGAAACGTAGGAGGTATGTAACAAGAAAGTTAAAAAATTTCATTGAATTGGCTTCAAAGCTTTTCCCACGACAGCATTTTAAGCATGTGATGCTAACATTTTCGTTCATTGAATCTCTGCAGCGACATGACTGTTTTGTAAATACTTCATTAAATTTTTATAAAAATATTGACTAGATAACTAATGTTTTAAAAGTTTAAAAAATAAGCTAATTTATTAAAAACTTATATTTTTAATAAAAAACTAATGATTTAGTAAAAATAAATGAGTTTGTTAACTCTTCAGATAATGTTATTAACATTCGTTTGAAAATGATTTTCTTCTTGTTGTTTAAATCAAATTCTTGCATCTGCCCCTTAAACTTTAACAAATTTGTTATAAACAATGTAGTATTTATAAATAATTTAAAAATATTTAAACTTTAAGTCTAATAAAAAATCTTTGAGTAAAACATGACATTTTAAATAAGTCAAGCGTACCAAACACGATTGAATACAGGAACCATATTTAATAGCTCGATCATACAACGAGCCATAATAAAAAATGACGCAGATATTGCACATTAACATGGTTTAAAACAATTGTATCAATAATATCTTCCAAAATATAATCACCCTAAGCAGATTCATATAATTTTTACGAATCTCATTCAAGAGGTAATGGAGAATTATTTTTTAAAGGAGTATTAATAAACTGGTTTACTGGAAAACCGAAACTTTCGTGACATTTTTCCTTAACAAGGATTGTGTAAATTACATTAATTTCAACTAAAACAACTCAACTAAAAGAAGAAAGGTCAAAAACCTCTGAAATAAAAATCAAGTTTACACAAAATTCAGTAGTACTGTGCTAAACACGAACGACATTATCTACTCAGGTAAAGAAATAACAAGTAGCCATAAACTTAGTCTGATATTAAAACAAAAGGAAAAACAAACTAAGTGAAAAATCATAAAATCACTATAGTGCTTTTGGAACGTGGAAATGATTTACATAAAGAAAATACAACTCTGTGGACAATAGAGTAAGAGGTGTGTACAGCGACAATTAGGTACATATTCAATTTGAAAATAATTTGTCTTCAAATAAGATTTTTATGATGTAAGTAAGTGATTAAAGTATACGAAAAACTCCACAGTTTAAAATTTTTTTACTCTATCCCAGCAGATAAATTATCTTCGCTGGTGGGAATTATAAATATCTTATTATGAAACATTTTAACAGCCACAGTAATTTATTCCAATTATAATTAAAAGCAATTAGAAAGCTGGCCCATTCTATGAAGGCTTAACAGGTTGAAGAAGCAAACAATTAAAAAAATCTGTAGATAAGTAACGAAAAGTAATTGTTCTGAAATATTAAAAAGTTATTCTTATATCAAACTTCATTTTCTTAGTATTTCATTAACGTTTATAAATGTTGAACATTTTTTAATTATTTGAATATTTGTGCAAGTATATTTAATTTTATAACAATGCACAGATTATTTATGTGAGTATATATATTAACTTTTCAATTCGCAAAGAAATTAAAGTAAAACGCAACTATTCGATTTATTGTCAAATAAAATAAGCATTTTCTTCAAAAAGTAATATCCTAACTTCATTATTCATTTTTAAAGAGTTCACAGTGTCGAATTTTTATTTTTTCGAAAATATTTATAAGCAAATTATCATTTTAAAATCATTTTTCTTCAGATTTACAATAGGCCATGAAATGCATTTAAAGTGATCGATGACAACACATATAAAATCCTTTTTAATAGATGTCATTCTTTAAAGATAAATTAATAATAAATGTCAACAATGAAATATTATTATTTCCAAGCGGAAAGCATAAAATGTCAGATTCAAACTTTAATTTTCTTTTATGTGCCTTATAGATATTATTTCTTAAATGTACAATTTGATTATTTTACGATGTGTATATTTATTTAAAACTCCTCGTACAATTCCGTATTATGCTTTTTTTAATGCATAATAATTTCATTCAAATTAACTTAAAAAAATATTTAAATATAGGAAACAAATATTAATTCAAGTTTTTTTTTAAAAGTAGCTTAACTAAAATATTTCATTAAACGGGAACACTGCTTTAAAATTTTAGAATTGTTTGCTAACTAGAATTGTTTTCGCCCCAGTTTTGTATAATTAGTTAGTTTGAATATTTAAGCTCATTGAATATATGTTGAAAGTCATATAAAAGGAGAAAGATAAAAGCATCCATTGATTGCATCAAGATGCGTACAAATTCACCAGATGAAATAAATATTTTAAATAATTTTGAAGTTGTGGTTTCCATAACTTTCTCATCCAATTTACTTCAACATTTATCAGTATATTTATTGGTAATACAATTTTCGTTTCGTAGAATTTTTATTTCATTTATAGCTTCTGATAAATTAAACTATCGGTGCTGGTTTTTTATATCAATAACTATTTCTTAATACTAATACTGGCTTCTAATATCAATGGGCAATTCGAAGGTTACGGACCTAACATTTGTAAGCTTTAAATGCCTAGAATTAAGTTAAAAATTCTGCAGTAGATCTGAAACTTTTTAATAACAATTTTAAAAAAAATACTGACTAATACGGACGTAACTCATGCTAATGTCGAAATTGCGCAGTGAGTAATTAATTTATGTTCCATTGTTCCTTGAATATGTTTGGTAACCAAGAAAGAATTTTACGAACACACTCTTAAGTAAAACAAATATTTTTATACACGTCTTTTATGTAAGAAATTATTGCATCAAGATTAAGTAAGAAATTCGTTATTTGATTACTTTCTCCTTAGTTTTTATTTTCTTAATTTATTTAATTTTCTTAATTCTTAGGCTTTTATTGTTAAATAAGTTTATTTCCGCTCCCAAATTATTATTTTAATTTCAGATGTTTGCTATCATGCTAAAATTCAGTAACAGAATTTTCAAAAAGGTTCTTCAATATTCTAAATGAAATATTTATGATCTGATGCCAATTAGACCATGAACCACTTTCCAAATTCAGTTTCTTTATTTTGGCAAAACTTAGAGCCATCGGGTGTGAGAAATGGAGTTTTTATAAGAAAACAATTCTTTCTTTATTCCATGTATCAAATATTTTTGATAACACTTTATGAATATTTGGTTAGTCTCATTCCATTTCTTTTCTAATCCAGGGTTTTGCCTGAGAGCATCATCTTTAAATTGCATAGAAATTTTAAACTTTTTTTAAAAATGTTTAAATGTAGATAAATGCTTTAAATTAAATTAAATTAAATTTAGAACAGTTTCAAGGAATAATAGTACATGCCAAAAATAACAATATTTTTTAAAAATAAAGTAATGAATAAATGTTTTTTTTAAATATATTTGAAATAAAAATTGGGAAAATTCAAGAACAATTAACTTATTAACCTATCTAATGTTTAATTTTGGTAAAAAAATAAAACTACCTATTTTCCGTCCTTTGAAAGCTTTTTTGGTGCCAAGATTTGCATTAAATCAACATCAAATAATGTTGCCAATAATCAAATTGTGTTTTTTTTCTTCAAAATAGTTCAAAAAACATTATTTACTTTTGCTGAACTTTTGTTACAGATGTAATAAAAAATTGGCGAAATTAAATTTGACAATTGCAAAATTATATTTTTCAAAAAAACATTTCTTTCTTCTTTTGCATAAATGTGGGATACGTCAAGTTTGCTAAATTTCAAATTTTTACATCTTTGTTTACTTTTCGTGGAATTGTCCTACTACTGGCTTCAAAAATTAACACTTTTTTTAATATTAATTCTGTTTTAATATCAATATAATTATCAATACTGGCAACTTTTTTGTTTGATATAAATTTATTCCATTAAAAATTATTTAATAAGAAAGTCTACGTGAAAATTACACATTAGTTAAAAAACTTACGCGTTAAAATTAATCGTTTCACTTTCAAGTGTATCGTAAGAACTGAAATTTAGTAAAAAAAGAAGAAAAAAGACATAAATGAATTAAAATAAAATATTTATGTATTTTCATATTTTCAGGTGTTATTATTCTCACTGCAATAGCAAATAGATTTCGTCTACATCGAATTGATAAAGTGGAACAGTTCATTTTGGCCTATGGAGGGTTAAGGGGTGCAGTCGCCTTTGCCTTGGTACTCATTGTCTCCGATAGAATCATTCCCACCAAAAATATGATGGTAACAACCATCATCGCACTAGTTTTCTTCACTGTTTTCATTCAGGTAAAAAAATAAATAGTAATTTGTTTTATCATTAGTATGTTGTTTTCTAATAAATCATAATAAGACTAAAAATCACTATAACAATTTTAATTGCCGTTTATCTTGAATTTTTTTAACTGACGCCAAATGTTTGAACAAATTGTTTCAATTTGTTACTTATGTTTCATAATTCATAATTTATTCAATACATATTACGTTATTTGAAACAATGTAAAGAGTAAATGATTACGATTTTAAAATAATCTTATTACATTTGAAAAACTGGTTAATGGCCAATTAAATAGTTTTATTATTATTATTACATTTTTGCAGAATAGGTGAGTAAAAATTAAGTTAGAAATTTATGCGGTGTTTCAAATCACCACTCTTAATTCATACAACTTTAAAATTCCTGTCTAAAATAAAGCTATTAGATGATTGATACACACTGAAGGTGGCCATCGTGATTATTAAGAAACATAAAAGGGATTTTCTAGGATATATTATATGTGTAACACTTTTTTAATTATAATTTTGTGGACATAATACGCATATATTTAAAAATTTTGTATCGTCTCAGTTTTAAAAAATGTATTTATTGTCCCATTTATTCGAGAAATAGTTTATATTTAAAATTACTAAAAATAAAGTCAAATAATAACCAGATTTATGTAAGTTGTTATATCGTTGCTTTCGCACTAATTTTACAGAAAACTTAAATAATGTTGAAATTGGTACTTTGAAGGGAAAACACACATTTTTAATGCAAAGCCAGAAAATATCAAGTTCTATAAATTTGCTTTCTCGCTCTCTTTTTTTCTTTTTATTGTTGAGATATAAATGCAATTAATAGTCTGGTGAAGTAATCCATCAATTGATAGTAGTTAAGAAAGAGCAGTTTTGTTCTATAAGAAAAAAAAAGCGATATACGTCTCGCAAATTGAAAAGAAAGCTAAAAAGGAACAATAATTGGTAAGATAAAACCGGAAAAAGATGCTCTTAACAAAAGGGCAGTCAGCGTATTTCCTTTGAAATGTGAATTTATAAAGTTTGGCAAGTGAATATAAAAATCATTATTCATTAGCTCTTTTCTTCCCATGAATGGAGAATGAATAACTAAATAAAAATAGATAATCGTCATGAAAAATTTATCTTTACCCAGTCTTTCATTGCTTATACTTTTTATTACTGATTTTTGAACTGAAAAGAACTATTTCACGCTGATAAAAATGCGACAAAGCAGCTAACAAATTGAGACGTTCAACTAGTTTGAAGTATGTTAAAAAGATTTCATAGATTTTAACTGTCTTGTTTTAAAGGGAAGAGATATCATCTACTTCCGCGTCGTTAAAAAAGATGTTAACAACTTAGAGCAGGGATAATCGCAGGGCAACTACATCGCTGTTAAAGAAGAGAAGGATATATGTCAAGCATCAAAGAGCATCTGAAATCTCTATTCTCGATAAAGCTTTTTATTTGACGATTTTATTTTATTTTATTTTATCATCGGCGCTGAACAGCCACTCATTATCGAATGTATGACTACATAGTTAATTTCCTGCAATTTTGAACCCAACCCAAAAGTCAGATGAACTCCTAGATCAAGCATTTAAGACAAAATCGGAGGATCTTTTGAGGGAAACAAACTCACAGTCGCGTTACATGGAGCAGAAAAGCACGAATATTTCCCACATTCAGCCCAATAGCAAGGAAACTTTAACCTCTACCATAGGGGATTTTCTTTTTGTCAGCATTGTGATCGGATTATTGGATGGTTGATCAAAATTAGACAGAGGAAGATAAAGCTTTGATGATCGCTCGTTAATTCGTAGATATAAACTGTCGTTGATTCTTATATGTACTTGATTTATCAGCATTCTCATAAAACCACCAAATATCTATTTTCATAATTGTGAGTTCACAACAGTCATTCATAACAGTTCAATTAAGCATTATTCGCGTTTTCCAGCTTCCTTCTATGTTAATTAGAAAAAAGTTCACGGTATTTATTAAAAGAAAGATAATCAATTCGATTTTTCAATGCTTGAAACGATAATCGATAGTTGCAATTGTTTGGACAGTCCATCACTGCATAACAGTAAAATAAAACAGGAGCGTTTGTTTGTGAAAATGGGCTATTCACTTGCGAAAAGTTCTGTCATGATGTTGCAGCGAGTTTTATCTTTTATATGTCAGCGGAGACAGAATACTCTTTCTGATCTCATTCTTTCTCTATGGGTAACAGTGATTCAGTCTAATGAAGTCAACGAACTTACTTACATGAAACTGTTGGACTAAAAATATTCTAATCAATTTAATATGCATCATAGGCATCGTACAAAGGTAAGTTGGCTGGGCACTGGACTCACGTTCGTGAGAATGGGGGTTCGAATCCATCCCGTCGAAGACTCCTCGTGTAGTAAATGCTGATTTATGCACGCTAAATCTGTCGGGTCACAAAGTCCTACATGTTCCCATAACAAATTATACCTCTATGAGTACTGAATTGGAGATTGATCGTTCTTGGGCTCAGGTCAAAATTACGATCTGTGGATGAATGAATGGATGTATGAATGGGTCCGCACTTTAAATGGGCGTGACGTATGGATGTGGGAGAAGTCTGAACTTGGCCATAGGTGGCGCCACTGGAGAATAAGAACAATCGCACCCCCTCTGCCTTAATGGCCGACAACAACAAATAAAGGTCAATGAGAATCAAATACAGTGAGCAAAATAAAAATGTAAAAATCATGTACATTTAAATTTAAAAAAGTACATTTAAAAGTATATAAAAAAGTACATCTAAATTTAACCGTTCAGAAATTATTCGACAATTTCATTCAAAATTTGTATTTTGTCATTTAAAATTATACTTTAAAATGATGTAATCTACCGTACAATTCAAAAATTTTTCGACCATTTTATTTTATTTTATCATCGACCTTGAACAGTCAATCAATATCGAATATATGTCTATATCATAGTTTGATTCCCTACATTAAAGTATGACTTTTTAAGTTGGGTTCTCCGATTTTGAGCCCAACTTAAAAAACAGGGGAAATCCTGGATCAACAATTAAGACAAATTAATTTAATGTCAATTTAATAAAAAATAAGTCAATTTTTTTATTATTCTGATTAAGTAAAATAAATAAATAAATAAATAAATACTAAAATTTACTTTTTACATAGATTGGTTTATCCTTAGAGAAAAGAATTAGAATGATGTGCAAAATTTTTTTACAATAATGTAAATAATTCTTAGTTTTAAAACTTTAGCAGATAATGATAGCATAGAATTGTGTTAATTGAGACGAATATACGTGTAAATTATTAATTATTTTAAAAATTATTTAACGAATCGTATGTTTATGATTTATAACAGCCAAAGCATATTTTGACAAGCGTTTTCAATTTCAGGGCATGACAATCGGACCTCTCGTAAGGATATTAAATGTGCCAACCAAAAACAAAATTAAGATGTCCATGAATGAGAGAATAATTACAAGAGTAAGTTTAATACTTATTTTATATTGTAAATAATAATACAATTTAGTAAATTTAAATTTCACTTTAATTAAAATAATAAATAAAAATAAATTAAACATCTGCTGTTATGAACAATATTTTTTTTAAAATTTTTTACACAAAAATTTTTTGTAAAAATGTTTGTTAAAATTTTTGTAGCTTAGATGTCTAAGAGTTTTCTTTTTTTAGTTACACAGAACGTAGCACAAGAAAAACTCACAGTCAAACACTAATTGATAACAGATATTTTGGTACAAACAAATATCATCCTCGGTTGACACTTTTTAAAGCGTGTTTTAGTAAAAATAATAATGGAATACACAAACGACCTTAATAACCTTATAAAGTTTTTGAATTTCCTACGTTTCACTAGGACCTAGTTCCAAAATTAAATAATTATATTTTAACTAAAACTATTCAAAAAATAATTAAGTAACTTAACTAACACCAAAAATGAAAAAAAGGCGTAAAATAATTGTTGTGTTTTATCAAATCTCAGAACTTTTTAAAAAATTTAATTTTTTCTTTTGTGCGTTTTCTGAAAGCTTATAATCGTATAAAATAATGCAACATTTTAAGGATTTATAACAAGAATCACGAAGATTGTCAAATGCAGCTCATATGAATCAATCGCATTATCAGAAGAATAGTTTTCCACATCGGCTAACTGATTCTGCAAAATTTGTTTATGCGATTTCCATTTTGTTATTGAGAGACATATGCACCATTTTCCTCAATGATGCATATGATGTGTCTATTTTTTTGTGGAAAAAACAGTTAAAGTTCATTAAAATTTCAAAAAGAATAAGTCTGTGCTACTTAACAAGAGTATTCGCTTATCTATAAACTTATAAAAACAAAATAGAACTTGAACGACGACAGTTACGACCGGGAGAAAATTACAATTTCGCAAAATGCAATACAGCAACATATCTATTTTTCAAATAGTTTATTTCAGAATATATTTTTTTTTAGATTTAACGATTTGACAACTGATTAGTTAACTAAGACATTCTATAACTAAAGAAAATTACAACACGTAGCTTCAAAACTGGCCACATTAATATTACGAAAACTAATAAACAACGAAATCAGTTACCATCACACTAGGCGAAGTTTTTCTCTCCATTTTTATCTCCTCGTTAAAACTATCCTAGCTGTTTCGGGCTACATTCCACCTTGTTTTTTTACCAGTTAAGAGATACATAACTACGCCAAAATGACGTAAATTATAAATTAACCAGCTTGGTCTCCTTTCAAAATTATCTTTTATAACATAAAAACTTTAATGATAAGCAATAATGGTATTCGCCTTTAATGGTAACGTATAACTAACTATTCCTCATTGCTTAAATTATCGCTAAAGATAACTTAACAAAATGAATACAAAGGAATAATCAACGTATAACTAATTTTTTAACATTACTTATATTATTACTTCAGATAATCTAACAAAATGAATAATTTCTATGGTGATGACAGTAAATAAAGAAATGCTCAAATTTGTGGTACCACATAAGAAAAATATATTATTCAGCTCTTTGATAACAAAAATTATAGTACGTTTGCAAAATTTTCTGCTAGAAATAACTTCTTAGCAATAAAACTTTTGTTTCATCAGAAAATTAAGTTTTCTTAGCTATAAGAAAAAACTAATTTGATAAAAATAACAAGTTTTAGAGAAATAGTTATTTCGCAAAATACACTTTATTTTTTAGTTACATGGTAATACTTTAAATAGTGAGGACAAATTGTAATAGCAAGAAAAATAATACGTATCCATTAGAGACTACGCTGGTAAAAGATACTTCATGGATTCACTCCATGTCAATACTCAGAAAAATTTTGTTTCGTTATTTTTCTCTAAGTTTTGGCTTTCAGCCAAGTTCATGCAGTGTGTTGCTAATTTCTAAACTACATTTAGATTATAAGAACTGGAGTTAAACCTTATCTTATTTTAAAAACAGTAGCTTGTTTAAAAAACAATTAAAAGATTAACGGATAAATTAATTAGGAATTAAAAAATAAAACTGTTAAAAGATTTTAAACGGAAATACTATACAATGCTTAATGAAATGTTTTAATGAAAATAAATTTTAACAAAATATGTTTCAATATATTCATAGTCTATGGATCACCTCATGGCCGCTATAGAAGATATTGTAGGTCAAACAATGGGAAATTATCATTTGAGAGATAAGTAGGTATCACGTTCCTAAAATATTTTAACCCTCCATACAGTGCCATCGCATCGTTTTAACCCTTTTTTTTTAAACCCTTTCAGATTTAAATATTACAATAACAAGTACCTTCGTCCAATATTGACGAGAGAGCATGCAAATGCTGAACCAAAAATATTCGAAACATATTCCAAATTGAATGTTGCTGATGCTATGAATCTAGTGAAACACAATTCGAACTTGATACCTGGTGCTATGGGAAATGACTTGGGAGTTTCGCTATCATCCATATTCAGATCTTATACTCAATCAAATCTCACCAAAAGGTAAAGCAAACAATTCTTATTCAACGAAATTGAAATCAAATTAATGTATATCTAAAATCATATTTAAAATGAGTTTTATTCGGTTTTATTTCATAATACAAACGAAATAATAAAACAAAAATCGCCACTTTAATGTTTAATTAAACTTTAATTTTACTATCATTCATGTATGTAATCCTTTCCTTCCTTTAACACTAAATCTATGGGGGTAGTGGATTCAAGTATTAGCATAAACAATAGCGAAAGTTATAAATAGATTTTAATAATGTTACCTGTGCTCATTAAAGCGAAAATATGCTTTTGATAGCACTATTTTTTTTTAAAAAAACTTAAATTATTTTTTAAAAAAATCTTGCTCAATCAAACAATATTGATTTCGGAAAAAAAAAGACTCAAAAATATTTATTACAAAAATATATTAAATACAAATATATATTTATTTGTATTTAATATATTAATGTATTTAATATATTTTTTATACATATTTTTTATATATATTTTTAAAAAATTTTCTAGCATCGAAATCACTTTTTATATTGTAATACGGTAGGGAATAATAAATTCCACGACAATGCGGACTAAATGCGACAGAAAAAATTTTAACGTTATTTTGATACTATTTTATCGAATTTTATCTGAAATTTTTTCCTCTTAGTCAGAGAATATGCCTATGATACTTAACCTGAAAGACCAAAATAATAATAACAAAAAAATGAAAAAAATAGAATTAACAGTATGTTTTTTTTTCTTCTAAATGTTTTCGTTCTCAAGGTCAAAAAGTTTGATAGTATAATAAATAATTTTTCAGAACTGACGAATTATTATTTTTCAAATAAATAACAGCTAACAAATATATAGACCATTTTATTTTATTTTATCA